GGGCCTGGGATCTTTCTGTGTGAAATCTCTATGTTTTCCCTGTGCATGCATGGGTTCTCCAGTGAGAGTCCAAAAACATGTTGAGGTTATTTGGGGATTCGAAATTGTCCAAAGGTGTAAATATGAGTGTTCTTGGTTGTTTGTCTCTAAGTGTAGTCCTGTGATAGACCGGCGACCTGACCAGGGTCATGTCCAAAAGTCGGTTCAGATAGGCTCCAGACACCCGCGACCCTGCTGAGGATAAAGCAGTCTATAGATAATGTAAGGATGGATGAATGCATGTATCAAATATCCTGCTTTTACGATTAGAATTCCAATATTTCTAAAAGTTTATAAGTAATTCCATTTGAGTCTCTAATAGGACCTCCCCTTCTGCCACCAAAAAAAAAAAGTTTTCCGATGAATCATAGATTATTTTTTAAGATCCGGATTGGTCAGAAATAATTTTGGGAGGTGTCTTCTGCAGGACAACAACAACGGTACCTTTCTATATAAACCAGGACTCCTGGTGAATTACCATCATCAACAGGATCACATAGCAACCATGAGGTCTCTGGTCTTTGTTCTGCTCATCGGAGCTGCTTGTAAGTTTATATTTTTCTGCTTATATTCACATAGATTTAATGACTAAATTATAAACACCTTAACAGTGTTACTGATTCTTTGGGATTCTGTGTGCTTTCAGTTGCCCTGGAGGACGACAAGATCGTCGGAGGATATGAGTGCGAGGCTCACTCTCAGCCCCATCAGGTGTCTCTGAACTCTGGATACCACTTCTGTGGTGGCTCCCTGGTCAATGAGAACTGGGTTGTGTCTGCTGCTCACTGTTACAAGTCGTACGTATATTCCTCATGTTTTTCCAAGATTGTAGGTTGAATTTAAATACCTGAAGGGGACATAGCTCAAATGCCAATATATTTTTCATTAATCCTTTGATTTTGAATTGCCTTCAGCCGTATTCAGGTGCGTCTGGGAGAGCACCACATTGGGCTCAGCGAGGGAAACGAGCAGTTCATCGACTCCTCCCGTGTCATCCGCAATCCCAACTACAACTCCTACAACATCGACAATGACATCATGCTGATCAAGCTTAGCAGGCCCGCCACCCTCAACGCATACGTGCAGCCTGTGGCTCTGCCCAGAAGCTGTGCTTCCGCTGGCACCTGGTGCCTGGTCTCTGGCTGGGGCAGCACCATGAGCGCCTGTGAGTAACATCTGCATCTTCGCTCTTGTTGTTCCAGAATGTTTCATGGCAATATCTGGCTCCCCTCGTGTTACTTCGATCCT